AAGCGGGCCTTGTCTTCCCAAGTGTCTACTTAGGCCCTTGCGCTCAAATGATCCCCATTTGAGAATTAAAGAAAAACTCGCATTATCTTTGCAGGTATAGCAAAGTTTAATGACAAATTCAAAGTCGATTGCCACTAGCAGACGCCGCTCAATTTGAGTTTATATTAGGAAGCATGGTACGCTGGCCACTGAGATCTTACCTTGAACTTTCTTCTCGTTTGTGGATTTATGTATTATTTTATGTGTATTTGTGTACGTATTTGTATTTGACTTCTAAAACTTGGCTATAAATGCCTTTATTACCCTTATCTTACTTTATCTTTATTTCATCCTTTACCCCTAAAGTCGTCGATTTTGACCTGCTTAACCTAGCAACCGTTAAGCAGTTGGTCCTCGAACAATTTTCATTTTTCCTCCAGGACAATTAGAAATAATTGTAAAAACCTCTGGAAACGAAATTATTTGTTGTGTTAACCCAGCTTGACAGATTTGGTTTAAAATGTACCGTCGCTATTGCTAATCTATAGACATCATATCATAGGATAGAAGATACTAAAATCGTATCCAGACCGCTGCTGGCGATCTCCCGCTCCAGATGATAGTGGTTAGAAAACAGTGGTACGACAAATACTTGAAGGTTATGTAGCTAAAAAGCTGACCCTCACATGCATGTTTATTTACCGATATAGCTACCCCTTCGCCCCGCCCCGATGTCCGTAAGAGAAGTGACGGCGCCTTAAAAAAATTCTGTTGTGTATCTACCTTCTGTCTTCGTTGTGCATGAGCAAGATAGACTAAAAGATGTCTGTAACGGTAGGCGTCCTATCCAAAATAATACATGCAGCTACTTTACGAACAGGTCATACTTAGCTGAGGTGCAATACAGCGCAAAATTTCAAAAAAATAGAACAAGAAAGAGAGCTATACTTCAAACAAATAGGTATAGAGTTATTTAACAGATGCTTGTGAGCCGACGAGACTGATAATTGCATTAGAGTCGAGTCCGGTAGTCTGTATACTTTCAAGAAAAATTCAGGAAAATTATTTTTTAGCAGATTATTAGGTTTGCGAAGTTGTTAAGAACAATTTTTAAAAATTATTAAGGTGTTCTACTCTTTCAGACGCTGCGGGGAGTGAAGTTTGGTTAAAAAAATCTACAATAACTTTTTTTCGGATATTTAACTCTGCCTGCTGGAGAAAACCGCAACTTCAAGAAATATCGAAATATAATATGCCTTCAATAGCGATTTTCTAGTCATAACGAATAGTAATTTATGTAATAATCAACTACAGGCCACTGGTCTTCTGCCTATTAGCACGCGAAAGCACTTCGAAATATACTGTACATCGTTAAAGTTAGAAACATCGCTGATCTTTGTACCCTTTTTGCTTGACACCTCCTGTGCTTCGTTCACGTATACGAAGATCTTCAGTTTTTCAATAAATACTTCAATACAAATATGCTGTTATCTATATATATATATATGGATTTTTTTTTTATATCTTTACGTAACTACCAGGGACGTGTAACACTGAGAGACGTCTCAAAAAGCCCATGTGTAACCTCTGCAAGATATACCCTTATTGATCTACCTCTTATTTAAAGCAGTTTTCGCTAAGTAAAGCAACGCAACTTACTTCATGCGAGCAAAAGCCGTACAAAAAACACAAGTTAATTTGTTATTTAGGTATTTATTTCAAGATCTGATTCTTTCTGCACCTCATTGTTACCTTGCGGTACAAATCAACAGTGACAATGTCAGACAAGGTAGAGGTCATGACATTTCCAAACGACTGGTATTGCGGCGCTTAGCTCTTTCTCCTATGAATAGCGATGACATCAAGATACGCACGTATTTAAATGCTGTAATTAGGATGTATTCTTTTAACATTAAATACGAGTGTTGATTCTAATTAACAGTCATTCTGTTTAGCATTTCTGGGGGGTTTTTGGCCTTTCTGTAGCCTATTTTTTGCATACTCAGAGATTCAAGTCTCAGGTTTCCCAAGTTTCAAGTCCAACCCAAAATATATACTCCCTGACCTGTGTGACTAAAAACAGTCGCTTTCTATATATTTTCCTTGTTTTAGTTTACTGTATCACCTATATTTCCCCCCCCTCTCTCTCTCTCTCTCTCTCTGCATATATTTTCGTAGATTACTCATTTTCCTCTTCTAACTTGCTATACAGATACGAACTTGAAGGTCACTATTGAGATACGAGTTCGCAGGGTAGACTGAGAGTAATAACACGGAAGGTTATCTTTTCATAGGCCAATGAAGCTAGCGTCCAACATTACTAATTAATGAATACGTCAATTACGGTGGTGTCATTTGAATACGTACCGATAAGTTGTCAGATACAGTATCGATCTACAAAGCAATGTACAATACGTTTAAGATGGTAGAATTATTTACCTCTGCTCATGCTATGTATAATATATATAGTAGCTGATGCTGCGAATTAAATAGTTTTACATTTAAACACAGTAAAAATACTACTAAGCACAGTACAAACTAATGATCATTATGCTGCAAACGATTTAATGGAAAAGGTTATATAAATATTAAAAAAAAAGTATATAAATACGTTCGTTGAGACGATATTTCTCGTATGGTTTAAAAGAGCTTCATACCTGCTTCAAGAAAGGGCTCGAGCGACGTTTTAAGCATTATTGTATGAATAAATAATCAATTTTTTGTACGTACTATTACGTGGCCTTCGTCGTTATTTGCCTTGCAAATGTAGCGCATCATTTGTAGAAGGTTCGATCCGGGAAATAGCTCCCTAATTGAAGACAATGTTTTTTCCACGACCTGCAACGTGAGCACAGTGTTACGTTCTACGTTCTACGGAGCTTTTTGATGTTACGCATCCGTGAAGGCACATTAACGAATCTAACCTCGAATTCTGCATAGTTTTAGCGAGATTTAAGTTAGTTGTTTCAACGAAAAAGGCAGACCAATGAACTTCGCAAGCTCAAAGGATAAAACTAGAAAAGACCAACCGTTCGATCTCGACCGTTAGCAAGTTTAGCAAGGAAAAAAATTAACTTCATTACGCCCCTAGTGGGTACAGCTTTCTTAGTAAGTTCCGATTCGCTCGGTGGAAAAGTGCGAACGTATCGTGGATCAGTCCCAATTAGCCTAAATGATGTAATTAGTTGTGCCCAAAATCTTTGCTTTTTCCGTTTCAAAAAAGAAGGTTCGTCACAGTTGACTCCGGACGTCCAACTTACTTACATTTTCGTCAGTCTTTTCAATAAGACAGTTAATGAAGCTCATAGTGGGCTCGTCGTCAAACACTAAAACACAGATTTCGAAAGTGACATTTTATCAATAGGTAGTTGCTGTGGGAAACTTCAGCAATTGGCTATGGGGAAAATGAGCTCAAGCAGGTAATATAGGTTTAAGTTGGCCGTTAAACTGTCGCATAATAAAACCAACTTAAAAATCATCGGCTGGTTTTCAATTTGACGGAATTGTGCCGTGATTTGTTTTTCAATCTTCACCTACCTGTCATCCAGCAGTGTATCGTAATTTGTGTATAGCCACTGTCAGCGGAGATGCATGCTGTTTAGTATGCATATTTCAATTCATCCATAGTAGTTTATACATTTTATTTAAATTAAAGTAAATTAGAAAGTTGATGTTAGGACATTCGGGGTAAGGCACATTGAGACAACTATAACCAAGCATATGGGGTAAGTGCTCGAGCCTGCCGTATGTTTTTTGCGTCACAGTCATCTCTACAATTACACGATATTTCCTGTACTATAAATAAGTCAAACATTTCATTCTTTCTTATGACACTAGGCTTACGCCGATATATATTCTTGTCATTACGATCCATCACGAACACAAGCCTGAGTTAACTCCTCAGATCTGCTAGTAGTATGTCATAGGGGCTGCCATGAACTCGGTTCAGCTTGATTACAATCAGCACGTTACGTGGACTTTTTCTGTGGCATCAGCGAATCTTGCCAATCAACGTATGTTCTCAATGGATACGAACGTGGAAGAAGTGTGGCGGCGAATTAATGTTTTGGCTTGACTTCACAATTGAATGATGTGCTTCGTCAACTTACCTCATGTGGTGTTCCTATTCATTCAAACATTGGCCTGAGTTGAAATACTTCCTCATTTTTAAAGGTTCAACACTCTGAGGAAAAGTGTTTCAGCTCATCTTCTCCTATATATATATATATATATATAGAATGCATGCACGATTGCCTACTAAGAAGCGTTACAATTACTGAATAGCGAATTCTAGCTCAGGATCGATATTATAATGGCATGTGAAGAAAAGCAGCAGAGATAACTATAGTGCACAGACAAACGTATTATAATAACTGATCGTTACCACAAATGTTCATAACAGGCATAGACGACTTATCCTGACACCACACGCCAGTAACTGATAACAGAAAAAGAAGCTTTAGAAAAGGGTTTCGCATTGTCGTTTAAGCTACCATGCGACATATCTGGGCGCGACATCAGGTCTTACGTCTAATAACAATAAAGGTTTTTGGTTGATTGGTGCCCCGTCAACCTATTCCTAATAGGTCTATAAATATTCAGTTTACGATATCTATTTGTTCAGCTTCTATTCGTTGCGACAAATAGGCAACACTTGCTGATAACTAGTTCACCTCAGAAAGCAAAAACCTAGTAACGAAGAATAATAGTCTAGGAGCAAGAAAATCACTGCCGATTGCTGATTTCTAAATGACTGAGGAGCATTATGGTGTTCCCCTTCATAGAGTAAAAAGTCTCTGCTCGCACCAAGTATAGGTTTTTTACGCTTTCGTTTTACAAATACGTGACACGTGCACCTCAGAGCTATTTAGGCCTACGTTGTGTTATGCTACAGTAGGTAAATGAGTGATCCTTATGAAGGCAAACAGATTTATGGGGCTAATACATATTATGTTAGTGATAAAATATGTCGAAAACTTTCTACATAAAAAACGAAAATAGAAAAATCAGTCATACACAGCTCACCATTTATGTTTATTTTAAAAATTCATTATAAACTCAACCCTACTAGTCACAGTGAAGGCAATATATCCTTTTTAGTAACATTATAAATTGATTAATAATATCATATGATTTTTTTTGCGAAAACTCATGAAACAGACTTAATAAGAATGTCAGTTTCTCTCTCTGGGGTTATAGTTGGTAGAGGAGATCCAGGCGTAGCGATGAGAACTGCCATTGTTGCCACGACGATGACGAGCATAAACTGACATGCTATTGAGTATGTGTAGTGATCAAGTAGCACCCCACCTTGGATAGAAGTCAGAAATTACAGACGGATATCAGCATCCATAATTTTAGATATTCTATAT